TTGAGCCTGTGCTTCTGACGTGGCGAGTGAGATGGTGAGGAGCCGTGGACGTGAGAGGAAGAAAGGTTTCCTTTGGGAGCGAGCGTGTGAGTGAAACCGACACGCTCACCTGGGAAGGACAATGGACAGAGCAGTGGTGCAGAGACCAGGCAGGAGCAGAAGGAGCAATGGCAGAGGCCACAGACCTGGAGCCCAGCACCCGGGGTCCTTTAGCTGGGTCTGGGTGTGTCCAGGACCAGCCAGTGCATCTGTGCTGCTGAGAGACAGCCTGAGGAGGCAGACTGGTGATATGGGATAGGGGACAGGCCCTGTGTCACCATAGCGGGGCAGGGGGCGGGGGACGCTTGGCCAGCAATGCACAGGAAGCAGATGGACAGAGCTGGAGGGTGAGGGGTACTGAGAGTGGACACGTGACCAGAATCCATTCTCTTCAGGAGTTTTGTGAGCGAGGAGGCAGACACTGGGCAGTGCTGAGGGACGTGGGTTGAGGGGGAGGCTCGGGCCTGGCTGAAGGCAAAACTCCAGTCCATCTGTAGCAAGAGGCCTCATCCTATCGCCTTCATGGGGCCTGCATCTCACACCTTTATTCCTTCCTGATGGTGACTTCCTGCTGGCTCACCAGTCTGAGGAAGGTAGAAGCTATTCATCGCCACCTGGTCCTTAAGCTCCATCTACCCTGGAAGCAGGAAGGCCATGTGTGGCTGTTGCCCTCGCCCTTTGGTGCCCGGGGACCTGCAGCCCACGTGCGCGGTGAGGTCTGTATTTAATTGTTCTAATGAGTCCTTGTGAGAAGCCTGGGCTCCTCCTTTTCCTAACCACTTCCTCTCCAGTGCTAAATAAAGAGCACACAGGCTCCTTTTAGCAGTGCCCCTTCCAAAATAAACAGAAGCGCTGAAATTTGCTGTAATGCTAGTGCAATTAAACAGCTGTGTCAGACTCGTCCGCACCAGGTTGGCGGCATGGCAGTCAGAAGATGCTTTTCTGCTCATCCTAGGGTTTTAAGATGAGGGTGGCTGCTTCTCAGCTGTCTCAATCCAGAAACGGGGCAGTGGTGGGGACCGTGCTGGCTTTGAGTGTTGACATTCTTGTGATGGTGTCCAGGCTGTGCCGTGGCCTAGCTGCGTGGTCTTTATGCAAGTGACTTGCCCTCTCTGAGTTGAAATAGTGACCATAGCACCCAGCTCTCAGCATTCAGTGAAAAAGCACGTGCCGTGGTGAAAGGGCTTGGCATATGGCAAATGATCAATAAACAGTACCTGTCCTCTACTTTCCCACCGTCATTTACCAGTGCAGTCTTTCCTGGTCACCGATGGTCAGTGGCTGGCATTTGGGGAGAACTCTCATAGCTCCTCTGGAGATTTCCTGACCTGTTAGGGACTCTGTCGGTGTGTTTTTCTGCAGTGTGCACCAGGACTCATGCTACTGGTTCGGAAGTTGAGGCCACGTGGTCATAGGGAAGGGGAGGTGGAGGTGGCCATAAGGAGACCACTAGAAATTGCTAGAACCAAAATGGTACGCACAGCCTGGCAGGACGAGTAGAGCCAAGGAACAAGACTGGATCGCAGGTGGACGTCACAGCGAACTCCACCCTCCTGCTCCGGAAGCTGATACTTGCCTGGCTCAAGACTGGAGCAGACGCCAGAGGACACAGTCAGCCCTCAGTGTCCTTGCATGTCTCATCTGAGGATTCAGATGGATCAGAACTATTTTGAACAAATTGCAACTGTACTGACTCGGGTTGACCTTTCTTGCCATTAGTTCCTACACAGTGGAGTACAAGGATTATTTACACAGACCTGACATTGTAGCAGGTATTACAAAGAGTCCAGAGGTGACAAAGTACGTGGGAGGGTTGTGTGGGCTCCGTGCAAATACTGCATCATTTTGCGTAGGAGTCTGAGCATCCAAGAGGATGCTGGTACCCATGGGATAAGGTCTCCAGACACCAAGGGACAGTGGTGTGTGTGGTCCCTGTCTGTCCTGGCCACAGACCCAGGTGAATGACCTATTGCAGTAACTAACCCGACACCCTGTTTTATGGAGTTGTGCTCATATTTTGGGGAGTTCTGTTTTCAAGCATCCCAGATTCCTGTGAGAGTTTCCATAGCAACTGAGAAGCCAGCACTCGTCTGCCGAGGTGCGGGGTAATTACAGCTCTGGAGTTCCCCGGGGGTGGGGGCGGTGGGGGGTGACAGTAGAGAGGACGCAGAGGTCACTGTGCCTGAACACCACATTCAAAGAAGTCTTCTTCTAAAAGCCAACATGCAAACTCACCGCCAGCCCCAGCGTTTTGCAAGATGCAAACAGAAGCCTTCTCTACATTGGATTAAAATGGTGGGATTGCAAGATATTTCCCGGGAAGGAGGAGCTCTTGGTGGCCCAAGATGGGGGTGGCATGGGGGGAGTGATGAGAGGAACTCAGTTTACCTCTCTGAACTCTTCATGTCTGTCCCTACCTTCTCCCTGCCCCTTCTTCCCAGCAGGGACCTCCTGCCCCTGCCTGCTGGGATCTGCAGCCCCAGGCCTTTTCCCAGAGCCATGCCTCTGTCCTAAGGACTCATAGCAGCTACAGTTCTTTAAGACTTCAAAACCAATTAAATAAAAATAGAAAAAGACTCAATGTCAGTAAAACGGCAAAACACTAAATAAGTGAACACAAACCACCAGCCAGTTCAAGCCCCCTTGCGTGAGGTGCCCCCATGCTATAATATGGGCCTGTCTGTGACACTCAGACGTCAGGGATGCGTGGAAGAGAGCAGGTTCCTGGGACAGAGGCAAGCAAGAGGCCCTGTGCCTGCTGGAGCTGCTGGACTTGCTGACACCCGTTCCCGGGCTTCAGGTGCTGAAACCTTTGCATTTTCGAAGGAATCTGGACTTTTAGGTAAAGGATTCAAACTTTACGATGTTGACCACAAAGTCCCCTTTTACGTACATTTCATCATATACATTCCTTTCTTTTTTTTTTTTTTTCATTTTTCTTTTATTATTCATATGTGCATACAAGGCTTGGTTCATTTTCCCCCTGCCCCCACCCCTCCTTACACCACTCCACCCCTCCTCTCCCCACCCCCTCAATACCCAGCAGAAACTATTTTGCCCGTATTTCTAATTTTTGTTGTAGAAGAGTATAAAGCAATAATAGGAAGGAACAAGGGGTTTGCTGGTTGAGATAAGGATAGCTATACAGGGCATTGACTCACATTGATTCCTGTGCGTGTGTTTACCTTCTAGGTTAATTCTTTTTGATCTAACCTTTTCTCTAGTTCCTGTCCCTTTTCCTATTGGCCTCAGTTGCTTTAAGGTATCTGCTTTAGTTTCTTGCATTAAGGGCAACAAATGCTAGCTAGTTTTTAGGTGTCTACTATCCTCACCCTACTTTGTGCTCTCGCTTTATCATGTGCTCATAGTCCAATCCCATTGTTGTGTTTGCCCTTGATCTAATGTCCACATATGAGGGAGACATACGATTTTTGTCTTTGGGCAAGCAACTAAGAGATAGCATAGATAAATGGGACCTCTAAAACTAAAAAGCTTCTGTCATAAAAGAAATGGTCTCTAAACTGAAGAGACCACCCACAGAGTGGGAGAAAATATTGCCACTATACATTAACAAAGGACGATAACCAGAATATACAGGGAACTTAAAAAAACTAAATTCTCCCAAAACTAATGAACCAATAAAGAAATGGGCACGTGAACTAAACAGAACTTTCTCAAAAGAAGAAACAAATGGCAGAAAACATGAAAAAGCACCATCTCTAGCAATAAAGGAAATGCAAATTAAAACCACGCTAAGATTCCACCTCACCCCTGTTAGAATAGCCATCATCAGCAACACCACCAAAAGGTGTTGGTGAGGATGCGGGGAAAAAGGAACCCTCTTACACTGTTGGTGGGAATGTAGACTAGTACAACCACTCTGGAAAAAATTTGGAGGCTACTTAAAAAGCTGGACATCGATCTACCGTTTGATCCAGCAATCCCACTCTTGGGGATATACCCAAAAGACTGTGACACAGGTTACTCCAGAGGCACCTGCACACCCATGTTTATTGCGGCACCATTCCTTTCTTTCTGAAGGAAGTGGAATAACATGAAATTTTCACTTCCGTGGTGGCCTCCGTCCTTGGGAACAGATAGCAGGTGCCATAAGACATTTCCCAGAGCCTTCATAGGGTCAACGTCAGTCTGTGTCACAGCTTTTCATACCTGAGGCCATTCCTCATGCACATCCTCGTGTGGCCAGGGCTGGCAAGTGTCGCTGTGGACAGCAGGTTCTGGCCGTCTTCACGTTCACGCTGGTGAACGTCAGATCCTGGGCTTTGGGGACTTGGTCACTGGCCTTCCAACAAGGACAAATGGGTGGTTGTGAAGCAAACAGTCCTGGTCACCCCACCCCTTGAGATTTTCCTGGGGACAAACGAAGGAGCATTTGACTTGGGGTAGCTCAGTGTTCTGGCTCACGGGACAAGCAGTCAGGACCAGAACCTGAGACCTGGGGTCCATGAGGTTGTGGACTCTGGGGTTGACCTGGGACAGACATGGACTTACTAACCAGGACAGGCAAAGGTTTCCCTGTGCCTCAGATCCCCCCTGCAGAACAGGCTAGTTATGGAAACTACGTCTTGGGATTATTATGAAGGGGTATGAGTTAAATGCAGGTAAAAAGCCTCCCTGTTGTTTGCAAGAATACCTGGGGAGGAGGCCAGGGTGTTTTCCACGCCAGGGAGAAGGGGAGGCTCCCCTTTCCTGCGAGCCTGGAGCTCTGCTCAGACGCTCGCTGCACTGAGAATATAAATGGCAAATGCAGAGGCAGCAGCCAGGCGGGGACCAGGGTTCCCCACTACTCTGCCTCTCTGTGGAATTCGCTGGGGAAGCGGAGGGAGAGGAGGCGGGGACCCTGTGTCGTGTTGCTCCTGGGGGCAGCGGGAGGCAGAACGGCTGGCTGTGCACGCAGTGGGCCACCCCTTCCTCAGGGGACCTCCTTGTTTCCACAGCATATGCGTGAGGCTGCAGAACGACGACAGCAGTTAGAGTTAGAGCATGAACAAGCCCTGGCCGTCCTCAACGCCAAGCAGCAGGAAATTGAGCTTCTGCAGAAGGTGAGGTGGGAGGGCTGGTGTGAATGTGTGCATGGGGGAATGAGTGAGTCTGGAAGGCCGGGAGAGGCTGAGGGCCTGTGAGCACCTGACTGCCACCCCGGGCCCAGGTGGCTACAGAGTCCCCATTTCTTGTCTCAAAGGGGGGCCCAGTGGCCTTTGTTCCCTCTGTGTTCTGGTTAATCTTTGGCTGGCTCTAGACCATGTAATGCACAAACCAGTGAAAGACCCTCATACCAGATGCCCGGGGTGGGACTGAAGGAAAAGGGACACTCTTGTCAGTGGGTGGCCGGGTGACTCAGGGAGAAAGACAGTCTGCAGTCTCCCTTACTCCAAAACTGCACAGGAGTGTTGACTGCCACTCTGACCCAGGACACCGTGTGAGAACTGCAGGAACCAGTCAGTACTGTGGAGGGCAGAGGTGGGAGCTGGGTTAGATGGAATGCCCGCCCAAGGTAAATCCTGGCCCCATAGGACGGGGTTATAAGAGGGTTACTTTTGGTTTATATCTGCTAGCTTGAGGTTATTCAAGTGGGCTAAGTGAGAAATATTTATAGCATGATCCATTGAGAGAGGAGGTAGAAAAAGAACAGAGGAAGGGGGAGAAATCAAGAAAGTGCAGAGGAGAGATGCACGAAGGAGGGAAGGAGGGCTGGGCTATTTGGGGAGTGCCAGCTTGGCATGGATGATGGTCACCGGCCTTGTCTGCTGTCTCACTGAGTAGGAATAGGACTGGGAACCTTGAGATGCTGGAGCACACAGACCCGAGGACGGCTCTCCCCTGCTTTCCCAGTGCTCTCCTCCCTTCCCTCTCCTCTGGGCACCGACAGGGGCTGCAGAGCGGGGAGAGCAACAGGTCTTCAGGCTGAGCCAGGGGCACAGATTGTCAGTCTGCAGCTGCTGGCCCAGTGCTGGCCAGGGCAGGCAGCAGATACCTCCTCTGCCCTTCATGAGGGCCTCCATCTTCTGGCCTCGCCAGGCCTTGGATCTCACAATACAGGACACACTCTATTACTCCTGATAGGAATCTGTCTGCTTTTCCTGCTGGAGGAGTTTGTTAGCAAGACACAGCAGGCAGATCTTTCTCGATGGCCTTTCCCTAGTCATTTACCAAGATCTTGTATTAGAGATTTCATTAAATCCACACTGATGGGGACTGTCACAGTCCCCATGACCTGTCATAGCAAGTGGGCTGGCATGCCAAGAAGCAATACTTCATCTGATGTTATCTGGAAGGGACCCTGCTGGGTGGTGGGTGAGAATATTACTGTTCTCTCACGGGGCCTGATGGGGCTTCCTGGGGACCCAGAGGGACCTGGATGGCACCTGCATCCTTTCATTGCTATTCAGAAACCACATCTCCAGGCTGGGCCCGTCTGAGGCAGATAAGAAGTCTGCAGAAATACAAATATTGCCCAATAAGGATGAGGAGACATTGTTTCCTGACGGAGCCTGGAGTTACATTTACTAAGCATCTGCCACTGAGGGAATAAACTGAAAGTAACTCCATTATTCATTATCTCCTCTGGGTATCGTCCAATTTCCTGTGCTCCTCTTGTCCCTGCATTCTTCATTGTCTCTGTTTTGGACACACTGATGCTTCCTCGCGGGGGACAGAGGAAGGGAAAATAGATGAGATATGAAAGTGCCAATTTTGTCATTTCTGAGAAATTCGGAAGTTGTTTTTTTTTAAGTGTTAGGAAGGTTGGGTATGGAGCACAATGAGACTGGTGGCTTTGTCACTGAGTTCATGGTCCACTTGCTCCACCCAGGACATTCGTGCCAACTGTGTCACTCGCTCCATCATCCAGCAGTGTTGTGTCCTACAGCTGCTCAGCTGGGTGTAGAAAAGGACGGACATAGTGTCCAGCGAGCCTGAGCCTCTGCCCTTCAGGGAGAAAGTAAGTAGATGACTAAAAGAAAAATCAAATGAGCCCAGGCATGATGAGCACCAGGAAGAAGCTGGACAGAACAAAGTGGTAGTTTGGCCAGTAGCGACATTGCACAAGGGTGAAATTTAAGTGAGTAGAAGACACCCGTCCACGTCGAGAGCTGGGGAAGGAGCTCAGTGGGACAAGGACATAACTGGCAATGGCGGGGTCGGGGAGAGACTCAGTGTGTCTTAGAGAGCAGGATGGCCAGTATGGCTGGAGGCAAGCAGTGAGGAGCAGGACTTGAATCCAAGACTGGAGCAGAGCTAGAGCCTTCCTCGCTGAGCAGTAAATCCTCCATGGTAAGGCTAGAAATCAGGACCCAAACTAGTCCTTATCTCCCTACCATGATAAAAGTCACATGTTGTCCTTGGATTGTCAGGTCAGAGATGATTCAGATTTGGAGTGGAACTACCTCAGGAGAGCTACCTGGTCTCTGTCCATATCTGCCCTCCCCACGCCTGTGAGGTGGTTCTTGTCAAACGTGTGACCCCCAGGTGTAGGTGTCTCTCCAGCTGGGAGTCTCCTCTGAGCCCCAGTTGTTATCTCTGGCTTGTGCTGGACGTAGCTGCTTCATAATCCCATCCCACACTGACCCAGTGACCTCACTCAGAGCACCTGTGCTGCTCTTGCCTAACCTGAGCTCTGCAAAGGGAAACCCCTTCTTCCTGACCACGGACCACGTCTGCTTCCATTTCTGCTGCTTCTGGGAGTCAGGTACCACTTCCGCTTGTCATCTGCGTGGTTCTTACTCCTGGGCCAGCCTGCAGGCTGAACTGCAAAGTCCCTGCCAGGTCTCAGTCCTCTTGGGAACTGTGAATTCCATGTCCCTAAGACTCTGGCCCTAGCCTTCTCCTCCAGCTCTGGCTGTTCCTGAGGCTGGAAGTAGAGCTGGGGTCGTGGAGCAACCTCCACCCCTCTCTGTGCTCTGGCCTCTGCCTCCTGGCCCTGGTTCTTCTTTCCCTGAATGTACAGCGTATATCAGGAAGCCAGGTGTATCTTGGTGCTAAAGTGGGACTGGGTTTGTCGCACTTCACGGCACTTGGATTGGCCTGGCCTCCAGCTATGGCCACCCTAAGAAAGAGCAGGGCACCTGGGCATCTAATATCAGGGACCAAAACCCAGTGTCCTGTGCAGGGCACGTCCCCCTCCTTAGCAGCTCAACTCTGACCCCTGCCTGCTATGGGGTGGGAGAAGCAGGTGGGATGATGCCCAGGGGAGGCATTTGCCACATTAAGGGACAACAGCAATTTATTAAGGGCCCCATAGCAGCATGTTTCGGGGACTCAGCAGAAAGTGAGGGTGAAGAATAATCACAATAATAAGAGCTGCACCCACGCGTTACTGCTTGTTGTAACCGTAGAGGTCCTGAGCGTCCTAGCAATGCCCACTTCTTTCTCCCTCCCTCCCTCCCTCTCCCTGCCTCTCTCTCTCCCTTCCCCCTCTCCCTCTCTTCCTCTCTCATTCTCTCTCTCCCTTTCTCCCTCTCTCTCCTCCTTTCTCTCTCTCTCCCTTTCTCCCTCTCTCTCTCTCCCTTTCTCCCTCTCTCTCTCTCCCTCTCTCCCTCTCCCTCTCTCCCTCTCTCTCCCTCTCTCTTTCCCTTTCTCCCTCTCTCCCTCTCTCTCCCTTTCTCTCTCTCTCCCTTTCTCCCTCTCTCTCTTTCTCCTCCTTTCTCTCTCCCTTCCCCTTTCTCTCTCCCTTCCCCTTCCCCTTTCTCTCTCCCTTCCCCTCTCCCTTTCTCTCTCTCTTCCCCTCCCCCTTTCTCTCTCTCTCCCTCCCCCTTTCTCTCTCTCTCTCCCTTCCCCATCCCTTTTTCTCCTCCCCCTCTCTGTCTCTCTAAGCATTGTTATTAGCATATATTAGTGTACAGGTGGCTCACGGTGACATTTCCATACATGCTTACAATGTACCCTGATTGGCTTCACCCCACAGTGTGATGTGTGAGCACAAGGGAGGTCCACGTGTGACCCTCACCCGCAGACCTGGGCGTTGTCCCACTGTTCACCCTCCTGTGTGAACGGAGGTCTTCAGCCGTAAGCTATTAAGAATGTAAGGTGCTTACACCACTGTGCAGGGTGCAGGGTGCAGCAGGGAGGTCCACCTAGCTGGATTTCCCTCCTCCCTGCTGTCTGGGATGTCACTGTTGTGTGTAGAGGGCAAGGTGAGGCTTGTACTGCCCCTCTGAATGGACTCAGGGCAGTGGTGGCCCTACTTTGTGTGTGTGTGTGTGGTACTGGGGTGGAACCCCAGACCTTGCACTTGCTAGGCAGGCGCTCTGCACTGAGCCCTGCCCCTGGTCCCGGGCCCCCTCTCGTCTCCCCAAATGTGCTCTTAGGGTGTCAGCTTTTGTTCCTCAGCCTTCTCTGCCTGACTGCTTGCCAAGTCAGGAACCCTGCCTGAGGATCCACAGCCCTCAGCAGTGGCAAGAGACCTGTTCTCTTTTCTGTGGAGCTACTTTAAATAGCACCAATAAATGTGATCCATCCTCACACACCCCAGCCACCCAGGCTCTGGGTGACTCTGTGTCCTGAGCATTGCAAAGGGACAAGTGCCATCCTGCTGTGTGTGCACATCGCCTAAGACCACTGTTGCCGCTGTGGACTGTCCCATGTCCTCAGCCTCCCATCCTTCTCATGACAGGCTGCTCTGGCCTTAGAGGGCTGGGGGTTGTCTGCGGGAGTTCCGGCCTCTTCTCAAGGTTTCCCTGTCCGCACGAAGGTCACGCTGTCCCATGCGTGAGCAGTGGCCCCCAAAATGAGCTTCACTTGAGCGTCTGCAGAGATGTTATAAGGTTTCAGTGCTGCCAACTTGAACTGTTAAATTTAACGATCCATTCTGATTGCCCAGCTTGGAAGTAACCTATGCAAGCCAACTCCTGATTTGCATCCGAAGCCAGACACGAAGTCACAACCGCCAACTTGGCTGAGGCTCACCAGCCTGCCAGGGAGATTTTTTTTTTTTAAATCCTGACAGTTAAAAACTATCATAGATTCTACTTGACTCAATGGCACTGTAATTTATGTAGTCCTTATATGTTCCCTGGACTATTCATCTTTTTTTTTTTTCTGATTTTGTTATTTATTGCAGTTTTTGCTTTGAAAGGAACAATTTTAAGCATCCAGTGCTTGAGTTGAATTTCAAGAATGGTGGAATTAATGCACTGTGTTCTATTCACTCGCTGGGCTCTTAAGTCCTCCTTGGAAATCCGTGCGAATGGGATGCACGTGAATGAGTTCTGGAAATCTCAGGCGGATCCTCTTTTAGTCTGTGTGAGGGAAGCTCTTCGCTCTCCTCTGCCCACATGCAGTCTTGTGAGCGCGAAGTCTAAGCTGCTAAGATAAATGTTTGCTGGCTCTTTCGTGATGGTGGAGAGTCCAGCACTAATTATACTCCAGGAACCGAGAATCTCAAATGTAAGTCTCAACTTAGCACATGGATGTTTTATTAGCACTCAGGTTTTTGTTTTCTGTGAGACCCAGGCTGGCCGTCACGACCTTCCTGCCTTAGTCTCCCGAGAACTGGGCTCACCAGCGTGCATCAAGGCACCTAGCTGTTATGCTTATTATTTTGAGAGATGCTTGCTCTATCATGTCAGCAAAAATTGAAAAATATCTGTGAGCCCAGCTTGGGGGACGGTGCACACAGCGTGGCAGGAGGGGGTGCAGCCGGGGAGCTGAGATCAGTCTCTCTTCTCTGGCCCATGATGCAACCTTGGATCCCCACTGAGGAATGTCTCATTCCTATGGTGTTCATTAGGACTCTTGGTTTCAAGAGATAGAAAAATCCAGCAGGAAATTTTTGTTCATACCTCACAGAAAATCTGACTTCAGCTACAGCTGCATCCAGGGCCCAAACCAAGTGACTTCAGACACAGCTGAATCCCAAATTCCAACACAACTTGTTTCTCTCCACATTGTTCTGGGTTGGCTTCATTTTCGATGTCTGTGTGGAGGCCACTAGCCACCCCAACCTTCCCCTCATGGTGGCAAGATGACTGCAGTTGCTCCAACCTCTTCACTCAGGTTAGGTCTAAAAGGGAAGGGTCCTTTTTCTCAGCATTCCCCAGAAGAAGGAATTAGGCTGCATGTCTACCCAATAAACCAATCGCTGAGAGTCTGGAGCCATTTTCGTCATCTTCTCCATAAGGTGAAAGGTAGACCTCAGAAAATTCAGGGGCTCTTCCTGGGAGGGGAGTTCACCAGCCAAACACAACACAGGCTTCTCTACCCAAGAGGACAACACTCAAAAATCTTGCAGTCCAGTTTTGCATGAATTGCCTGTGCCAGGCAGTAGCCATTGTGAGGAATTTCTTTGGTGGGACGTGTAGAATTTCTTCTGCATGGCAGACAATTTTGCCATCACTGCTTTGAAGAGGGCAGCCCCCCTGCTACAGGCCAGAGGTGTGGGACCCCCAGCTATGGTGGCTCTGCCAGCACCTGGGGAGGTCTCAGGAGGACTGGAGCTATGGGCATCCAGGGTGCAGAATGACGCCTTGTTTCCCCAGCAGTCAGAACAACAGTGAAGGTGTTCCTGAGGCTTTAGATGAGTCATCCTGCTTTCTGGGTCCAGCCACCATCCGCGAGGTCCCTTCTCAGCTGCAGGCTGGGGGCCACCCACCCTCAGGCCCAGCCAGGTCCTACAAGGGTCTTATCCCCAGAGCTTCAAACTTAATCGAGTCCACTCCATCTGGCCCTGGCTGGTTTACACCCTTAGAATTTAGGGGCTCATTTGTCAATAAACCCAGGCTCACAGCCTGGTCATGCAGACACTGATATGAATCTCTGTTCCCCCCCCCCCCACTAAACACTCGTTCTTCTCTCTCTATTATCAGGCTCAGGTTGAAGCGAAAAAGGAGCACGAAGGTGCCGTGCAGTTGCTAGAGGTAAGCGAGGGAGAACGGTCCTGGGGAGGGGAGTGTATGGAATGCCTACCAGAAACGATCAGCATTTCTTAGGTGCTGGCTGTGTACCAGTTCTGCCTCCTCTCCATCGTCCCCACGAGCAAGCTAGCTGACCCATGGGTTCTGTGACGATTTCCATCCTTAAGTGAGGAAACTGAGCACAGAGAGGAGAAGTAGCTTTCTGAGCTGGGTCAGAGCTGTGTGTCCCTGCTGGCTGCTCTCGGGCAGGAAGCGAGGCTGATGGGCCTCTCGCTCCACGAGAGAGATTTCTCCTAGAAGTGGGGGAACTTTCCTGTGCACATCCGGTCCTCTGGTGGGTTATGTGTAGGACATTTTTCAGAGTTGACACCAATTCTGAGGCAGGATCTGCAGGGCCAAAGAAAGGAAGGTCTAGGAATTGAAGCAGGTAAAGCCATCTGAGGTACTTCCAGGCCCACTGTCCACATGGGCGTGACTGCTGCCCACAGACCTTCCTTGGTAGCCCTGAGGATGGGGGCTTGGAGGGGAAACAGCCCCCGTGTCCACCAGCTGGGGTGCCCACTCCTTGTCCCTGGCTCTTGGTCGATGCTGGCCTCCTTGGGTGTGGTGGACAGGCCGAGAGAGGCAAAGTTCTCAGCCTGCGGGCCTTTGGCACGGCCATCCTTCCTGCACCGGGAGCAGCTGGCTCCCCACCTGCCAAGGTCAGAGGCTACTCCATGCGTGGCCTCTAGGGGGCGCTTGCCGAGCGGATTGCCCTGCATGGCTACACCGACGTTTCTTGCTATTAGCTGAAGGTCCAGCCCTCCAGCTAACGGATGAGGTTTCCGTTACAAACCAGCCTTGTCCCTTGTGCCCAGGGGACTAGCCGCCACTGAAGACAAGCGTGTGCACTTCTCACATTGCCTTTTGAAGTCTATTCCTCCCATGGGAAAGACCCCATCATTGCAGTCCTATGTATTAAAATTGATTTTTTTTGAGAGCATTCATTAGTTAATGAACATCGGGAGGCTCAATAAGCATGATGAATAGCAGACAGGCAGAGTCACAACCCTGAGGACTCAGCTTCCTAGGGGAACAGTGTGGCTCCCTTGCCTAAACCAACCTCAGCACTTCGATCTGCTCTCCCTGGCTAGACACCAGTCCCTTTCCCCAGTCGACCCAGAGCCTACCAACTTGGGCACCTGTGTCATTTCCATGACCTCCCGAGCGTCTGCTCCCCACTGCCCACTGCAGCCTGTGACGGGGGGCTGTTGGTGGCATGCACCTCTTTGAGCTGTGCCAATGGTCCTAACGCTTGAAACATTTGAAAACCAGAAAAAGCAAGATCCCTTTTATTCATGACATCTCTCTGTGACCGTCTTGCTTGGCTCTGCGCCCAGAACGTCCTGGACAGAATGCAGGTATTCAGAGTGGCGTCCCTGCCCCGTGTGTGTGCTGTGTTCTCCCGTGAGCCCTGGGCCTGCTCCCAACACACCTGGAGGTTCTGACCCAGTGCAGCTTCTTGACGTGGGCAGGGTCCTTTGCCCAGGAGTGGCTGGGGAGCTGGAGGAGAGATGCAAAGCTCTGCTGTCAACACTGGGAGCAGGCCTGGTGCACACAGTGTCCCATTGTCTGCCAATGCCGTGATGTTCTTTCAGGTTTGTCCTGTGAATTCAGATGACCCCCGGGAAGGGAAATGGTTGGGGCTGGTTTTCCTTGGGTCAGCACATGACTGGGGGGGGGGGGCCAGCCGAGAGCCCAGGATTAGGTCAGGGGTCCTCAGAATTCACATGGACCCCTGGACATTTGCTTCCCCCCATCAGCTGAGCCAGCAGCACTGATTCTGCTGGGAGGGGGGCACCTTCTTCTGTTTTTCAGCTCCCCCTGGGGTAGAGGACTAGCTGAGTCTCCCCTCAGAGCTGGGCTTGATGCTGATTTCAGAGACTAGACAAGGGGTCCTCAAGGTGGGGGGCTGGGACCCGCAGTCTTGGCTTCACCCAGGAACTTGCTGAAAATGCAGCCTTGGGTACAGCCTAGACTTGCTGAACCCCAACTCTAGAGGCAGCAGAGCTCTGTGACTGACACCCCTGTGGGGCCCCAGGCAGCAGGTTGGGGTGCCCACGGCTGGCTGCTGGGAAGGAGGATGGTTTAAAGGAGCGTTCTCTGAAGTCTTGGCCAATCCATATTCCAACTTTATAACTGGAATCCCCAGCCCTGTCAGAATATTGACTGAATCACAGAGGTCCCTGAAACTCAGGGACCTCGAGGAGGCAACCATGAGCCTGCCAGTGCTTTGCACGTAATTCTTCAGGCTTCCTCCATGGGCGTTAGCTCTGTCTCTTCCAACGTCCCTGGTCATCTCCTCCTGGAGCAAGTGTCCCCTCTACTCTCAGCACCGTCCTAGTTGGACAGTGAGCACAGCACATGGACTCTGCATTGGCTCCTCTTTCTGAAACCCCCGAGTTGGAGAGGTGCAGCATGGAGACACGTGGGGAAGCCAGCAGCTACATCTCTAGATGTTTTCCTCTCTCTTTATAAAAACCACTTCGCATTTGCAAGTCTCTGCTGTTCGTTCCAATTATAGGGCATTTGCCTGACTATTCGCCATCTGTCATGATCGTGGTTGGAGCACGGGCGCCTGCACTCCCCCGCCACAGGCGGACACTCTCTGGGAGGGGTTGGGTTCGGGCCCAGCCAGCAGGGACAGGTGGGACACCACACTCTTTGGAGCCCCTGTGATCTGTGCTGCTTGTCTCTACCACCAGCTCCATAGATGTCCATTCAAGGGACTGGAGTCCTCCGAGTCCGTGCCTGGATATGAGACTCTTTAGAGACCCAGCCTTGGGCACAGTCCCCAAGATGGCAGGCAATGGGCCACCACAGTCCCACACATCATTTGTTCAAGGTTGGACAGCACTCAGATATGGAGCCAGTCCCATGGCTTTGAGTTTCACTAACAAATGCCAGGATGTTCCATTGCTCCTGCTTAGGAAGAAACTGGTCATCTCACCAGGACCCTGGCTGCGCTGACCAGCACCCCTCGGGCATCAGTGGAGATGTAGTATGAACCATCAAGCGTGGCAGAGCCCTCTGCACGGCTGCAGCCCACTGGGATTCTGAGTGGAGAACATGACCCTGGGGCTGACATTCAGCCTAGTGGGACACAGGTTCTCTGTACTGGAGGACTGCAGGTTACAAACCTTGAAATTCTCAAGCCCCAGGGTGCCGTGAGGGACAGTCCAGCCTGCTGGGGACCCGCGTGGGTGAAGCTGGAGATGTCTTCAGGGCTGTGGGGACCAGGCCTACATTTCAGGGTCATAACACACACCAGGACCCTCCCGTTTAGAACGGGAGATTTTACATTGATGTGAAGGTGCCCTGCTTCTCTTGAAAAGCTGGCACTTTGTCCAGGGGGGGGTTGGACTGGCACTGAGATGCCCTTGGCCACAGCCTCCTTCATGTCCCACACGCTCAGCCCTACCCGCCTCATTTGCATCCCCTGTGGAATCCATGTGTCCTGTGGTTTGTACTTAGTGCTCAGATCATGGGCCCCAGCAGGCTCCCTGAGGCCAGCCACATGTGCCCAGCAAGATGGAACTTTACACAGCCACATGCTCCCCAGGGCCCAGCAGGCCTGCAAGGCTCAGACCCTGTCTTTCCACTGACTGCCACATGCACACACACACTCAGACTCTCTCCCCTGCCCTTGGCTCAGCTCTCAGCCCTTCTGCCACCCCATCTTCAATGCGTCTGAGCTCTGGAATTCCTGCCTGTGGCTTCACCCCGCCAGGGCAGCTCCTTCCCCCAGAGCTAATTGTGCAGGAACCCCAGCTTCTCCCAGCAAAGGGAAGTGGACTCTGGCCTGCTGCGGGACCCTGCCCCTGGGTCTCCATACACCAGGGTGGGCCCTGGAACCCTGTTTTCCCATGCTGTGCCTTCCCGCTTTGAGACAACTGCCTTGGCCAAGCTCATTCAGCTTTTTCAAAGAAGAATCCTGCTGATTTTTTAATGAATCAAAGAAATTAATTATAGTCCTGGGATCTGTTAGGGTTATTTTTAGAAACCTGTGATCTCCGACATAAATAGCACTTCGTTCTGGACGGAGGAGTGGAGACACCTTAATGCCTATGGCAGGGAGGAGGAGGAGAGAGAGGAGAGGAGAAGGGAGGGGAGGGGAGGGGAGGAGAGGGAGGAGAGGGAGGAGGAGCAGACAGGAGATCCGTTGCTGAGCCCTGGATGAGTCTGGGCAGCAGAATGGCTCACAGTTATGCTCTTTCATTCCCACATGCTGGTATTTGGCATAAACATCAATTGAGCACCAACTGGGTACTGACGTCGGTGCCAAGTACTGGGGATACAACAGGAAATGGGCAGGCCAAACCCTGCCCTGTTGGCATTGATATTTTGGTGGGGGATCCAGACAACACTCAAGGTTTATAAGACATCAATGGAACTTTCCAGTCATCCTTGCATGAGGCACACCAACAATGCAGGACTCGCCTGTAGACTCAACAAGCCACTGCCACAAGGAATAGTATACTTGCACACCAAGCACTGCTCTTTTCATTGATTCAGCAAACACTTATTGAGCACCAACTGTGTACCTGACTGTGCTAGGTGACAAGGATGTACCCATGGACTAGGAAGCAGAGGCTCGAAGCTTACAGTCTGTTACAGAGACAGACAAGAAAACAGTAACTGGGGAGCTGGGTGTAAAGCAGGAGACGGGAAGCACTGTGAGGGACAGAGTGCAGGGTGAGGAGGTGGAGGGGAGGCCCCCCAATCCCCCTCCATGTGTGCATCTTCTGTGATGAGTGGCAGAAACTCTTGTTGTGGAAGGGATGGGGAGAGAGTGACCTTGTTGTGCAAACACTGCCTGAGAGACTGGCAGCACCAAGGGTCAGGAGGCCAGCAAAGATGAGAGCTTTTCCAAGACTGGTCATTGTCACAAGTCCAGGCCTGTCCTGCCCGAGGAGGGAGCTCGCTGGGCCACCCTTTTCCTACATGTCTCTTCCCTGGGACTCCCGAGGTGTCCTTGTGATGATGGCAAATGCAGCCACATTGCTCACCAGTCCAGCAGACTGAGTTTCCTGCACTACTAGAAATGTGTTCTTTGGGGGGCTGCAGTCCAGTGGGTGGGCACCCATGAGAAAGCAGTGCAGAGGGGGTCAGCAACAGAGCTGTTCCCAAGTCAGAGTCAGTCTCACTTCAGATCACAAGCAGCAGAGGCACGGCGTGCCGACCACCAAGTTCTGGGCTGTGCATAGCCCGGAATAGTCCATAGCTGGCTGAGCTGAGTGACTGCAGGGTTTCTTCTCACAGTGGCCTCCAGCCACGTCCCATGCGACCCTGGGTGATCAGATTTCACCACACTCCTATGGAGATGAAGCAGCCCCTGCCACACGTGTGCACAGACACGCAGAACACACACACGTGTGCGCACACAACATGCATACATGCACAGACACAGAACACACATGTGTGCATAGACACACATGTACAGAACACACACAGGCACACACACACACATGCACACATACACTTATGCACAACACAAACAGGTACGTATGCACGTGCCCACCACCAAATGCCACCCGCTGACCTGTCCTGCCTCTGCTGTGCAGTCCAAGGTTCGCGAGCTGGAAGAGAAATGCCGCACGCAGAGTGAGCAGTTCAACCTGCTGTCCCGGGAGCTGGGAGAAGTTTCGGCAGCACGCTGGGAAGATCGACCTGCTGGGCGGCAGCCTGGTGGCCTCGCTTGATGTCCCTTTGGCCCCCGGCAAGCCTTTCCCACAGTTCATGAATGGACTAGCCACCTCCATCAGCAAAGGTAAGTGGCTGGCCTCCCCTTGCCTTGGGCGGTGGTGGTGAGGAAGGATTCCCAGTGGCCTCCCAGAGAGGCTGAACACAGGTGGAGGCTGTGTGACAATGGCTGACAGAGGGCTGGAGGACCCAATGTGGCAGGACTTTGGGTGCCAGAGGCTGCTGATGTCCATGCCCTCTCCAGGTGTCTGTGATGCTCTTCCCAGGCACATCACCTGTGCACAGGTGCAATGTGGCAGGCCTTTTCACAGAAGAGAGAAAATGAGGCACTTGTGTGGTCTCACACAGCTTGTGCACGACAGCATTGGGAAGGGGACCTAGTAGACTGGCCCCAGAGTCTCCGCGGGTGACTACCGGGTGGGGTGTGCTGGCCTGGTGCCCTGAGTTCTGCGAGCCTCATCTTTTGTCTGGAGTTTTCTCAGCAGCTAACAACATCGTGATGTTGTTACACCGTTCAACAACACCGTTCCCTCAAGGCAGTGATAGGGAGGTCTTGAATTATATCCACCTCCCCTCCATCTTTGCTTAGCCGGTAGAGTGAGGCAAGTGCCTGTGTACAGCAGAGTCTTGTCTTGGTACAGCAAAATGACCTCACGCACCACACAGCCGGTTTTCTTTGGAGTGGCCGCACTCCCTGGGCATGAGACTGACCTCTCTCCTGGAAGCTAAGTGAGCTGCAGGCCTAGGTCTGTCTACCTAATCCAAAAGATTTTTTTTTTTTTTAATTTAAGGGAGAGGAATGTCAGACCTCACTTTGAATGTATACAAAGACAATTTCCAAATTTCCCCTAGTTCTTATCACAATAGACCAAAAGTACCTTGGGTGCTTTTTATTAAAATGACAGTGCTGCTTGTTCTCATCCCCTCTACCACCCCCAGCTCTCCTCCTCCTCCATCTGCCTTTTGGCTCATGGTTACGTCCGTTGCTATTGCTGTAAGAAGTGAGGCAGGTCCAGGTTCTCCTGCAACAGACACTGCACTCACACAGCGCCCCCAGGATGGGTTTGGTGCCAAGGTCCTTGTGTAGAGTCCTAGTCGGTGGGCAGGTCAGACAAGAACCAAGATGGACAGCTAACAAAGTGGCCTCTGATCGATGAGTTAGGAAGAGGTCCCGGACTCTTTGAGATGGGGGAAGGCGGCCACCAAGAAACAGAGTTTGAGCTGTGAGACCTGAGTGGGAGAAGAGGGCAAGGCAGAGAATGTGTGTGCAGCCCTCCTGTGCCTCCCCTTCCTGGGGAGGACATCAGACCCAGTGCTCAGGGTTCCATGGGGGCTGGCCACACGGGCAGCCCTGCCTGGCAAGTACACAGAGTCGACTCAGGAAAGTGGTATTTGGCGTGGGCAGGGCGCAGTGTGTGTGCAGTCGAGGCCCCCGGATGTCTTTATCCTCAAGGGGACTTTGCCTACCCGTACAGGGAGCACATCAGGAATGGCGTTGGCAGGCACAGCAAGGCCCAGCCTTGCACGCAGCCCTTCTGCAGGCACTGGCCCCCAGCCTGCTCAGCGTGGGGCTGTGTGAGGCTGGGTGAGACTCCGGTCACAGGAGGACCGGGCTTTCCTGGGGGAGTCCGTGTAGAGACTGAGCTGAAGAAAGGCCAGGAGAAGTGGACACTGAAAACAAAACGAGCCCCCCAAATCAGATGGTCCTCTGCTTAGCAACCCAGTGTCAGGGCCTGGTGGAGGGAGTTGGTGGTGCAGCTGGTATGGATGGTGTGACACAGGCTGATCCCAAATGGATTTCAGAGGCCGGGGCCAAAGAGGGAAATGGCTGGGTGCAATTTTCTTATCTTTCCCCTTCCTCCCACCCGTGACCATATTCATGGCCAGGTCATGAGGGTTCCCCTGGACGCTGTTCTGTGATTGGCGACTATATCCCGCTGCCCAGGGACAAGCCAGAGCCTCCGCGCGCGAAGCCCGCCTTCCTGTCGCGATCCGGCAGCCCAAGATGCAGATTTGAGTCCGAAGTGAGTCCTGTGGGGCAGGGTAACTGCCAGTGTCCTGTACATCTGGGAGGATGCTGGTTGTCCACCCTGAGACCCTTCCCCTCCTCCTCCTCCCTCTGCCTCCTGGGCCCCTCTCACTGCCTTTAATTCCCAAGCTGTAATTTGCTGACCTACTGTGTGCCAGGGTGTGGGATCACCTTGGACAGACAGAAAAGGCCTCCAGCTTGGTGCCGATGGTGCTCTGAGAGGGGACACGGCCCCCAGTCAGGGTTAGAAAGCTGAGTCATGGAAGGTTCTGGAGATCACAGAACCAGGTCATGTGACCCAGCAGTAGGTCTGGGAGGAGCAGCTTTCTCAGAGGGCTGTGGGGAATTTGTGTCCCATTGCATCGACGAGAAGGTCTCTTCCTGGTGTAGGGGCCTGGATTCCTTACACGAGTTGCTGTGTGGGCCTGCAGGGTCCCACACAGGCCGGGAACGTGGGCTTCTCAGCTCTCGGGAGTTCTGAAGCCTGAGTCCACTTTCTCGAAAGCCCAGGGAGACCATGGGAGGGTCCCGTGTGTGTGCTGTGGTGTGGAATGTGAAATCCACGGTTCCAGTAACCCAGAAACACCCTTGTCCCCAACAGATGGATAATGAACGGAATTCCAGTACCTCAAAGCAGAGATTTTCGGGCAAAGTTCACCTGTGTGTCGCCCGCTACAGGTAAGAGTGGGTCACTCTTGGTGGCCCTGAGCACCTGGGTGTGTAGGACAGAGGAAGTGAGGGGGCTCCCGGAGCTCAGAAGGTCCCTTCTCTCTAGCCGGGCCATGGAGGATGGACAGATCCAGGCTTGGGTCTGGATTAGCAGGCCGCGGTCACTAACGGGTCACAGGCTGGAGGGCTTCGCACATGGCTTTATTCCCTCCCAGTTCTGGAGACCAGCAGTCTTCATGGAGGTGTCCCAGAGTCACGACCAATGAAGGCTCCAGGGATGAGCCCTTTGCCTCTGCAGCCCCGATGCGTGTCTCCATCTGCTGCAGATTAGTGTCCGCCCTACTCCCAGTTGGCCTCATCTTACCTAGTTAACATGTACAGAGACCTAGTTCCAAATGAGCTCACATGTGGCCTCCGGGAGGGGGACAATCCAGCCCACAACAGGTGGCAAACAGAAAGACACAGTGCTCTGTTGGCTTCTCCCTGGTGACCCCTCTTTCCATCCAGGTTCCAGGTGGCGGCTTGCTGAGTTACAGGCTCTGGGCTCATTTCTTGCAGGGATCTGGGGGCTTTGCTCCCAGCAGAGAGAGCCAAGGTGGCCACACCTGCCTCTCAGGTTCTTTGCGGGAGGATGGTGAGGGCTGCCTGCTGCCCTCAGCCTCAGAGCAGTCACGGCTCAGGCGGACGTGACGTGACTGAGTGCCGAGAGTGTGGCTAATGCAGACGCACTTCCTGCTTCCACCTCGGAAACTCAGGCTCTGTCCTCACAGGTGGCCAGGATGTGTTTAGAGATGGACACTGCTGTCTTTGAGTTGGCGTGGGGCCACCCCAGTCCCACCCAGTATCTGCACACAGAAGTGCTGAGGACAGAGCTCAGGGAGCTGTGGCCCTTCCTGGACCCTGGCTTTGTGCATGTGAGGTAGGGTGGCCTTAGTCGCGGCTGGTCCATGTCTGCAGTACATCCGCCTTCTCCAGGCTGGGGAGGTTTTCAGACAATCGTCTTTCAGACGATCACTGGGTCAGTCTCAGTTGATTGCCAGTCCACCCACCAAGCCACACAGCTGCCCCTGTGGTTGTGGACTCTACATCAGATGCTACCTATCCTTGGGTGTGAGCTCCCTGCCGTACCCCGTGTCACGCTGACCCTGGGAACATGGTCACAGTGTGAGAAGGCTGCAGACCATGAGTGGATGAACCCTCACTGCCACACACCAGGACAGTGGCCAGGTGCTGAGTGAGGTCCTCTGAGCCTGTACAATCCACACTTGTCCCCCTGGTCCAGCAGGGCCCAAGAGAGCCGCCCCCTTCCCAACTGTGTGCCACAGGCAATGTGCAGAGCTGTCCAGTGGGCTCACTGTCCTGCCGCTGTGTGGGGACATGAGGCTTGGTCCAGGCCAGTTGTGCAGGAGGGTCATCCATACCAACAGAGAATGAGTGACAAGTCAGATACCTGGTCAGTCACGGCCAGGTGCTCCCTACCCACCGTGTTTTCTTCTGTTAGGGAGTTGTTTGTGTTTTAAGGTTTTTTGTTTTTACCTTCTGCCCTTCCCCAGACCAACCCAAATCACAGAGAGGATAGTATGTTTCTGGTCCTAGAAAATGCTGTATTTCCAAGACTCTAATACCCTTAGGGTCATGGAAGATGGAAATGAGAGGCTTTTTGCCGCCACCCCACCCTTGGAGATTAACGTCACCCTGCAGGTGCTCAACAACCTGCTTAGAAGTTTCTCCAAATTTCAGCTAAAGCTAAAAATTCTCCTCCTCTCCCACCCTCACTGCTGCTGCCCTCGCTCTTCTCCTTCACCTGGGGCCACCTGTCTTCACATCTTCTCATTCTTCCGTTCAGTACAGTCCCCACAGCGGGGAGCAATTTGCCTGAAATCTAGGGGCAGCTGGCACATTGTCAGCTCCCCCAAAAGGACCCTGCTTCCTGCCTCTGGTCCTTTGCACATGCTGTTCCCTCTTTCAAGATCTCTTGTCTCACCTCACCCCACCCTGAACTTCACATTCCAGCCTTATCTGTGTCCATTCCTGGTGCACCTGGCCATGGTGGACATTGTCAGTTTGGTGGGGAATTTACTTGGATCCCGGGCTCTGATGTGAAGGATGGAAGTGCCTTGGTGTGTTAAAACAGCTAAGAGGGGGTCAGGAGGTCCCAACGCAGCCCTCCTCACCTAATGGGTGAGTCATCTCACCTCACTGGGCTGCTAGAATCAGGATCGATGTCTTTGTTTTCCTCCCTGAGACTTAATGGCTGTCAAACAGCACACGTGCCCTCAGCGTAGGTAAACTGTACTGCACCATTGGTCTGCAAGTCATTGTTACACCATTATTATAATTTTATGGTGGCCTGCTGTCACCTCCAGCCAGCAGTGGTGTTCCTTTAATTTTCTTACCGAGACCTTTCTGCTATGTCTGCTAATCTTTTTAAATAGAGAACTACTCTAGGTTCATCTTACTTTTGTTTTATGATGGCTGTGATGAAAAAAATGTCACATACAGTCCACTGGGGACTTGAGAAGATAGGGTCTCTCACTTCTGGGGCAGAAATTGGGTGCAATCATTTCTTAGGACATTTGACCATATCACCCCGAGAGTCAATCAACGTGTACACCGTTGACAAACAAATATTCTTCCCAGGATTTATATTTAGGAGGAAATCGTGGAGCCACTGAAAGACGAGGGATTTGGCACAACGCTGAATGTATTAGCCAAAGTTTGAAGCAGCATCTGTGTACCTTAGGAAAACAGTCAAGTAACGCATGCGGGACATACATCCACCCCAAAGGATCTGGTAGATAGTCCCGAGGGGGAAGTGCACGTGGCACAGTGAAAAGCATGAAGCAAATCGCTCATGACTTGACCTTGACTAAGTTGGATTTAAAGGTCATTGTGTTCATTTTCTTACCATCTGCTCATTCATTTGGTGGAAGAGAAAATGTGAATCAAGTATTAGTTATCAATATATCCTCAGACCCCAAGGGTCCAAGTGCACAGCCGGCTCCAGAATCGCTTTCTCCTAAGATTGTGAGCGAGCCAGGGCAGGCTTCAATTCCCAGTGCATGGAGAACTCACCAGCCCCATGCTGTCCTGTGGGTTTGTGATCCTTGGTGACAGGCACCCTGTGTATCCAGCCGGCCAGCTGCAAGGGACAGGCTGGGAGCAGTCCACACCTAGGGCCGCTGATGAGTGACCTGTGTTTTTTCCTCCAGCTACAACCCCTTCGATGGACCCAATGAGAACCCAGAAGCCGAGCTCCCTCTCACGGCAGGAAGATACCTCTATGTCTACGGGGACATGGATGAGGACGGGTTCTATGAAGGTCTCTGTGGGAACATGGCCCATCCTGCAGACAAGCACGTTTGGGGTCCGGGAGACCCGCCAGACTCCCAAATCACTCCCACCCGCCCCTCTTCAAAGACTGAGACAGCTGAGCGGGGTCCCAGTTTTAAGTCCAAGCTGCCCCTGACACTTGGTGGATGCTTTTTAACTCTTATCTTGGCAGAGCTGCCTCGTGGCTGTGTGTCCATCCCTGGGGCTGATGGACCCTCTACAGCTGTCTGTTGGTGTCCATAGGGGATGGGTTCTAGGATCCACGGACACTCAAGTCCCTTGTATAAAATGGTGCCAGGTTTGCATGGAAGCCAAGATCTCATCTCTAGATGACTTATAAAACTAACAGAATGTAAATACCATGTGAACACAAACAGTGTTTCCACTGTATCATTTATGGACTAACGACAAAAAATAGTCCATTCTCCTTCAGTATGGGCACAGTTTTTCCCAAGTATTTCCTATCTGCAATTGGTCGAAACCTCAGATGCAGGTCCCCTGGATACTGAGGACTGACTGTGCTCCCCACAGCGTTCCTCCAACCCTCACGTCTCTGCCTCGCCCCAGGATCCTCACTGAGAGTGGCTCTTGGCCCCTGCAAGGAACAGTCCCACTGACCTGCTGGCTATCGTGATTACTCAGGGGTCCAGCCCCATGTCCTGCCTGACCTCTCCCTGTCACATTGTCACCAGTTTGGAATTAGTAACAGTGGGCCCTCCACTGTCGGTTCAGCTTGAGGAAGTGTGTGTGTGGCCCCGAGGCCCACGTCCACTTCCTGATTCTAGGTGTGGGGTGTCTTTGACAGTGTCCCTGAACTGGTACACTGCCCTGCACGGACAGAAGGGTGCTCTTGTGTGACCTCACAGAGCTTCCCAGAGTGGGCGGGGCTCAGAACATACTTCCTGGGGGCTGCTGAAGGGAGGTCCGTCTCTCTCAGTGACATCACGAGCCAAAGCCCAGTAAGCAGCTGACCTGGCATTGTGAGTGGACCCTTAGCACGGTGCTTTGGCACACCAGTGTGGGCAGGACCCAGCAGAGCTTCCAGAAAACCTTGAAGTCTGCAGCTTTCACCCAAGCTCTGTGCCCATGTAAACTCTCCAGGGGTCCAGTGCAGAGCAGGGTGCAACACTCAGGGCACCACAGTCTGAGGGACAGCAAACCCTCCTTGTCCTTTCTGTGCCTCAGTTTACCTGCCGCAGAATGAAGATGGCTGCAGTATCCACCCTGTAGGGCATCTGTGAGAATGCATAGTGTTGGCACGATGTGCTCAGAATAGAGCCTGGCACATAATCATTGCTCAGAACATGTCATTGTCACCACCACCACCACCATCATCACCTTTCCTCTGTGCAAGAGTGAGTGTGTTCTTATAGACAGTCCTGGAGGCAAAGGATTGACTGCCCCAAGACCCTCACCCTAGGTAGGGGCGAAGAACAGAATTGGAATCCTTATTTATTCTGTTAGAACCCAGGACAGGTTAAACAGTGGACGTGCTCTCCCAAGGCCACCTCTCAGTCCCCCTAAACCAGAGCTGAATTTTGGTATCTTCCAGCCTCTTGGGGTCTCATTGGATGTCTTGGTGAAGCCCTGTGATGGAGAAGGGAGGAAATGGTTGGTCTCTCTCTCTCTCCCTTTCTCTCTCCCTCTTCCCACATACACAAGGAAAGATTCCCCCAAACCGCCTCATTCTCAAATCTCCTCTAAACACCTTCCAGGTTTCGGGGACCCTGCTGGCATGGTTTTTTGAGTCCCTACTAATAGGGACTGCACAGAAAGTTAGACTTCTTCACAGAATAGAGAGATGTCCCATGATGGCCACCTGTGACCACAAAATGACAGCATTCATTTTGTCACTCAACGTAGAGTGAAATTGGTCATTTCACCTTAAACCAAGTGGACAGGCTGGGGACTCACCGCGGGGTGCCTGGTGCTGTGTGAGGAGCTGGGAAGTCACCTTTCATGACTAGTTATAAGCTACTTGATCAAATTTAATAGGAAGCTGGTTATTTTTTAACCTTTCAAGGCCACAGACTTGACACGTGTGTCCTAAAGAATGAGTACCTACTGTGTGCCAGGGTCACTCCAGGTCTGGACACGGGGTGGTGGGAGCTCCCTACCTGTGTGGAGTTCAGTTCTAGTGAGGGAAAAGTCCACGTGCACCCAGATAAATAAGCTTGCCCACTCCAGACCTTGGTAACGCACATCGGAGGGGCTGTTTCAGGTGGTGACATTTGAGTGGACACCTATGAAGCCTGGTGGTCCTACTGGGGGGAGTGTGGTGTGTGCTGTGGGACCACAGGGCCCATGGGATGGTTGGCTGATACTGTCCTTGTCCCCAATAGGAGAACTCCTGGATGGGCAGAGAGGGTTGGTGCCTTCCAACTTTGTGGACTTCATTCAGGACAACGAATCCCGGTCGGCGAGTACTCTGGGGAGCGAGCAGGACCAGAACTTCATCAACCACTCCAGCATCAGCCTGGAGGATGAGAGCATCCTTGACCTCCACTGCCTGACACACGTGGACTCGACCATCACCGACGATGGTGGGGGGACGCTGGACGTGACCATTGATGACACTGGAGAAGACATTGTGCCTTACCCTAGAAAAATCACCCTTATCAAACAGCTCGCCAAAAGTGTCATTGTGGGCTGGGAGCCTCCGGCCGTGCCGCCCGGCTGGGGAACTGTGAGCTGCTACAACGTCCTGGTGGACAAGGAACCGCGCTTGAACCTCACCCTGGGCAGCAGAACCAAGGCCCTCATCGAGAAACTCAACACGGCCGCCTGCACCTATCGCATCTCTGTCCAGTGCGTCACAAGCAGGGGCAACTCAGACGAGCTGCAGTGCACACTCTTGGTGGGCAGGGATGTAGTGGTGGCCCCCTCCCACCTGCGCGTGGACAATATCACGCAGATCTCCGCTCAGCTCTCTTGGCTGCCCACCAACAGCAACTACAGCCATGTCATCTTCCTCAACGAGGAGGAGCTGGACATCGTCAAGGCGGCCAGGTACAAGTACCAGTTCTTCAACCTCAGGCCAAACATGGTCTACAAGGTGAGGGTTTTGGCCAAGCCTCACCAGATGCCCTGGCAGCTGCCCCTGGAGCAGAGGGAGAAGAAGGAGGCCTTTGTGGAGTTCTCCACGTTGCCTGCAGGTGAGTCTGCATCTTTGCATGGGTCCCCAAGGGGGAGGGCACCCACACAGGTGGAAGTGGACAGAAGGAGGAGACCGAGTCAGTCACTGATCGCCTGGGAAGCCCAGAGCAAGTGAACATGTGAGAGAGAGCAGTGGGCTCCATTTAGGACTGGGCTGTGGACGATGCTCCTCTTAACAGGTGAATCTGCCAGAGGCCCATCCTGTAAAAGATGGGAGGGGAATGGAAGCGTCACAATTCCCTTATGTTCCCTCCCAGACACACAACTGAAATCATGAGCTCCTCTCAACATTGTCCCTCCCTTCTTGTTGTTTAGTTTTAAGTAAGCACCTGTGGACAGATGTGCAACATGTGTGAAGTCCCCTGCCACAGGCATTCTGGGTTCTGGGCACAGCCACCAAGGTAAACCTGTCTCCCCTCTGCTTTCCCAGTTGAAAGTGGGGAGGGAATGTGCTCCCTTCCATCCCCCACACTCCTGGGGACAGGCACAGCAGCCTGCGGGAAGTTATCCTTTGAAGGACAGGATCCAGGGTTCTTAGGTCAGTGGGCAGCTGTTGCTGTGGCCTCCCAGGCATCCCCGGGGCTGGTGACCACTGGATGCACACCAGCAGGTATCAGAGGCGGGAGCAGCAGCTGAACAACCAGGTGAAGGGTGGCCGGCTCCGTGGGTATGTGTGCATGCACATACACCGTGGAGGGACTCTGCATGGGTGATGGACAGTGAAAGGCCTGGGTGGGGTCCACTCATGCCACCTGACCAGTTACTGGAGACACCTCTGGGAGAAGAACAGTGGCGAGATCAATGTGCACCATGTACACTTGCAGAAGTCCCTGGTGTGGGGCCGATGTGAAGAAACACCTGTCATCTAGGCTCTGATGGGGGCTGTAGTCATCACCTAAGGGGGTGTGATTTGAGGGTGCAGGTGAAGCAGGGAGGGTTCCGTGTGAGGAAGGGAATGCTGCCTATGGTCACAGTGACATCTCTATTCGATACTCAGCTCCACTGTGAGAAGTCTTTATTCAGTCATCTTCTTCTATCAACCCACCGTTGACTGGTTTCCGGTTCCTGGCTACTGGTGAATAAACACCATGGAAGTATTGTTTCCTGTCTCCCCGTTGACTGTGATGTCAGTTGCAGGAATTCTGTAAAGGATCATGTAAAGGATCCGTGTAAGGAACTTCCTTTCTATCTATCCCCCGTGCACCCAGAGTATTTATCAGGAGTGAATGATAATCGTGTCAGGTGCGTTTCTCCGTCTACAAGTCATGATTAATTTTATTTCATTAACAACATGAGGTACATTGCTTTGGGGATTCTGAGTAGCCTCACTCTTCTAGGAGTGAACTCTACTTAGTCCTGATCTATCGCATTTTAAAAATATGGCTGGATTAGACTTGAGATTTTGTTGGGGATTCTTACATCTATGTCCGTGAAGGATATTCTGAAATTTCCTTACAACCTCCTTTGGTTTTGGAACCAAGTCTGCTGGATTCATAAAACAAATTGGGACTTATAAAATGAATTTGTCTTCTGCTCGTATCTGTAAGATATTCAGTAACATCGATCATTTCTCTCTTTAATGTGTGAAAGGGTCACTAGGAAAACTATACAGACATGATGTTTTCTTTGTAGAAATGTTTCAAGTTACAAGTTCAATTTATTTAATATACACAAGGCCATTTGGATTTTCTGCTCCCTCATTTGTCAGTGTTGGTAACTGTATTTTTCAAGGAATTTTCCCATTTCACCTGAATTATCTCATTACCTACAAAATTGCCCATAGTATTACATTATTCTTTAACTGCCTTTGATGGGTAGTAATGTCTCTTCTTGAATTTCTGTTGGTAATTTAGGCTTTCTCCTTTTTTGATGAGATGTGTAATATGTTTATTTTATTTTTGATTTATTAATATATTGCTAGTATGAAGGGACTTTGTTGTGATATGTGTACAGTATACCTTGAACACGTTCACCTCCTCCATTAGATTTCCATTCCCCTTCTCTTTCTCCCACTCTTTATCAAACAGTGTTTGGTGGGTTTCATTATGCTGTCTTCACATGTACATATGAGGTACACTTCCATTCTTGGTATCCTTTCCTTTCCTTGTTCTCCTCTACATATCTTCCCAGACAGCCCCATGTACATTCATGTCCCATCACCATCATCACCGCCATCACCACCATCACTATCACCATCACCATCATACCATCACCATCACCATCACCATCACCACCACCACCATCACCCCACCACCATCACCACCATCATCACCATCACCACCATCACCATGGCCATCACCACCATTATCACCACCGCCATCACCAGCACCACCAGCACCATCGCCATCACCACCACCACCATCACCATCGCCATTGCCATTGCCACCGCCATCACCATCACCGTCACCACCACCACCATCACCATCACCACCATCACACCACCACCACCACCACCATCGCCATCACCATCGCCATCACCACCACCACCACCATCACCATCGCCATCACCACCATCACCACCACAACCACCATCACCGTCACCACCATCGCCATAGCCATCACCACCATTATCACCACTGCCATCACCAGCACCACCAGCACCACCAGCACCACCATCGCCATCACCACCACCAGCACCATCATCGCCATCACCATCACTGCCACCACCACCATCACCAGTATTATCACCACCACCACCAGCAGCACCACCATCACTACCACCATCACCATTGCCATCACCATCTTAGGTGTAGGTTCCACAAGTGAGTGAGAACATGTGGTATGTGGCCTTTTGAGCTTGGCTTAATTATCTCTGTTTATTATTTTATTAATGTATTCAAAGCTATAATTTTTGCTTCGACTGACTTTTATGTTTTTCATAATTTTTTATCTTATTGATTGTCACATATTATCATTGTTTCCATTTTTTTCTATTGATTTTTGGCTTAACTTGCTTTTCTATTCTGTCCTACATTTTCTAAGCAAAAATTAGATCCTTGAATTCAAACTGTCTTTTTCTAATAGAGATATTTAAACTTATAAATACTTTTATTATTTTACTGTAGCCCACAATATATGATATATCCTCTTCCTTTTATCACTCATTTAAAAATATTTTCTGGTTTTCCATGTAAAGTCTTCATAACTCTGTACCCAAGGAAGTTGATTGATTTGTAAATATTTGAGGGTACATGAAGAAGTATGCTACTGTTACTGGTTTCTAATTTAATTTTTTTAGGTTCAGACAAAATATTCAGTTTAAGTCCGTTCGTCTCAAGTGTACTGAGACTTGCTTTGTAACCCAGCATAGGTCTACACTGATGAGTGTTCCTCAGGACATTGAAAAGACTGTGCATTATCAAGTCTGGCAACTGTTAATTAGGTCAAATTATTTAATAGAGCTCTTCAAATGTTCCCTAGCCAAACTGGGTTTTGTTTCCTTGGCTTATCAGCTATGGAGAGAAATCATATATTTGCCTATTTTTCTCTTTAGTTTTGGCTTCATATATTTTGAAACTATTATTAGTTGAATACACAGTTTGAGTTGCTAGCTGTTCCTAATGAATTGTCATACGTCACAATGAAATGTCCCTCTTTGTCTCTGGTGTTATTTTTTCTTGTCTCAAATTCTGTCTTGTCTAGGATCCATGTGGATGCTGGCTTTGTTGTACACAGTGTTTACTAACCTTTACTCTCAAATTCTTTGTGTCTTTGTGTTTTCAGCGAGTCTCTTATGAATAGTGTATAGTTGGGTCTTGCTGTTGTAGCAATGTGACAATCTCTACCTTTTATCTGGAATGCTTTGTCCCTTTGCTTTTAGTATGCTCATTGATGTGACTTGACTTAATTAAGCCTATCATTCTGCTCTTTGTTGTTCACTTGTCCCACCAGATCGTTTTATCTTTATCTTCCCAGACTTCTCTCGGTTGACTGAGTATTTTTTTAATCTTCTTTTTTTTTTCCTCTCAATTGATTTCTTTTTATTTACTTATTTTTAGAAATAATGCATTGTATTTTTTGGAGACTGTTTAGAGAGTAGAGCATGTAGACTTAGCATATAATAGATTGCCTTCAGTTAATAAAACCAATTTATTTACAGTGGAAGAAAAGTATATTGTAATTCCATTTGCTGTCTTTTGTTTTTGCCATTTTGTTCACAATTTTTACTTTTACAAATGTTATAAGTGCCTCAGTGTGTTGTCATTTGAATCAAAATGCTTGCCTGCCTTTGAAGAATTTGAGGAAATAGTTTGTTCTGTTTTCCAACATTCTGAAGATTTCCACCACCCTTTTCATTCCTTTTTGAAGGTCCACATTTCCATCTGTCATCACTTCATTTTAGCCCAGATGACTTTCTTTTTGAGTTCCTTGTAGTATGATTTTGTTTGTCTAAAACAACTCATTATTTCATCTTCATTTTGAAATATATTATCTATGGATTAGAATTATGGGCTCTGTTGTTTTTTTTTTCCTCTCAGCATTTTGTGATGCCATTCCATTTTCCATTAGCTTTCATTTCTCCATCATGAGTCAGCTGTTGTTCCTATTGTCCCTTCTGAGACTTTTGTCTTTCTCTCTGAGACTCTGTAGTTTGGGCTTGTAGTACCTATGCTTTGATTTATCCTTTAAAAGTTACTTAGATTCCTGAGTCTCAGGGTTTTCTTCACATGTTTTTTCTGCCTTATTTGGTCATCTAATTGTACCTTAGATTGTTTGCTGGTATTTTCCAGATCTATGAGTCCTGATTACTACTGTTCCACTTTCCACTTCCATTTTGTGTGTTTCAGTTGGGATAATTTCTATTGATCCACCTTCAAGTTACTGATTCTTTCCTTTGCAGTGTCTAGGCTGCAGTTCAGGACATCAGATGAAATTTTTTTTATCCTGGCTATCATATTTTCCTGATCTAGTATTTTTGCTTAGTTTTCTTACTTCTCTTTGCATCTCCCCTTTTTGCCCATCATATCCATCTTTTCCTGCACATTGTTTAACCTCTTCA